GGTGATGAAGTGGTCTCGGGTCTTATTGATGAGATTCTTAGGGTAACCTTTTTCCACAAACTTGTCTTTCAGTACGTGGCTTTGTAGAATGTAGTCCTTTTTATTGGTGCAATTTTTGTTAAACCTCCAGAATTGCCCTTTCAGGACATTCCGCTTCGAAAGAGAGGGTGGTGGCAACTTTTATAGTGGAGATTGCCGGCGGTGGGTTTGAAGTGTGTTTTAGTGATTATCTCGATATTGAGGTGGGTGAGTTCGAGGTCTAAAAAGACCAAATTGGACTAGTCCGTGACGTGTGTGAGTCCTGAGGATTTGGTGTTACAGTGCTTGACAAAGTCATTGATGGTGTCTAAAGGACCATCCCAAATGATGATGATGTCATCAATGTAGCGTCCGTAAAGAATCAGGTGTCGGGCAAAAGGATTATTGTGCCAGATGTGAAATTCCTCCCAGAAGCCCATGGTTAGGTTGGCATAGCTGGGGGCATAGTTTGTCCCCATGGCTGTGCCTTGAATTTGAAGGTAGAATTCCTCTGGGAAAGTGAAATAATTGTGTTCAAGGGTAAACTTAATGGAATTGAGGATGAATTGGGTTTATTTGTGATGGAGCTCTGATTCTAGGGACAAGATATATTGTAAGGCCTGGAGGTCTACTTCATGGGGAATGGCAGTTTAAAGTGAACAGACATCAAGTCTGTTTTGGGTTGTGGGGGGCACAATACTGCTTTCTCTTTTTTGGTGATGATCTTTTCATTGAATGCTTGTTCGATCAGGGGTTTTAAGGCGTTCATGAATTGGGGTAGTGGGTCAGTTTTTAATTTTTGGTAACTGGTGGTGTCTGACAGTAATCTATGGGCCTCTTTTGTGTAATCGTCGCGGTTTTGGATGACAATACCCCAGCCTTTGTCCGCTTGTCGGATGGAGATGAGTTTGTTGTTGGTCAGGTCTTTAAGAGCTTTTCGTTCATGATGGGATAGGTTGGTTTTGTTTAGTTGTTTGGTCTGGCGGTTTGCTTTAGAAATGCTGTTGTTTTGTGGAGGATCACACAATTTAACGAAATCTGTGTATGTGACTTGATAAAAAGTTTCAATGTACGCTCCTTTGGATTTAAGTGGGTAGCATTTGGACGGGGGGTGAAGGGAAGTGTGTCTAAATGTTGGGCTAAATTTTCTAGGTTTTCTAGAAGGAAATCGGCTGGGTAGCCAGGGTCGGCTAACTCTTCCAAGATCGCCAGGATATCCACGTCCGGTGCCGAATTTGGTGTCCGCGTGCGGCCGCGGAAAGTGGGGGGGGGGGTTGTTGCACTGGGTAATGCGGCCTCTGTGTCTGGGGGTTTGGTTTTGTTGTAGTGTCTTTTTAGAGTGAGATTGCGGATTAACTTATTGAGGTCTTTGAACAAGGTGAAGGAATTGGGGTTGATATCGGGTGCGAAGTTTAGGTCTTTTTTGGGTAGTGCTTCCTCATGGGAGGTCAAGGTGTGGTTGGAAAGGTTGAAGATTTTTACTGTGGATTGTTTAGGGACTGTCTTTCTCTCTTTGTGGCATAGTGAGTGTGTCCCTCCTCTTCTTCCCCTTCTAGTTTTTTTCTTTTTGGGGGGCGCATGGTGCCTAATCCTAAAAAATGCTGTGAAGGAGATGGAGTGGTGTCAGTGTTGATTGGATGTTGAGTGCTATAGTACAGGGCGGGGTCTGAGGTGATGGATAAGGCTTGGTGATCAGGAGGGGTGGAGTGAGGTGTGTTGTGTGGTGTGGAGTTGGTGGAAGGTACGATGTGGGTGGGGGTGAGTTCCAGGTGGTCTACAGCTGGGTGGATGGCCTCATCAAGGGTTGTGGACTGAGTGGCCGGGGATGGGTTAGGAGGGGGAGTGGGTGTTGATGGTTTGGGACAGAGGGTGGAGACAAGAGGTTCAATGTGGGGTGTGTTGACATGGGTGGGTGATGGGGCTAGGATGTACTTGGCTGTGAATTCAACCCAGGCAAGTCTAGTGATATGACTGGAGGGGTGGAGAGGCAGGGACATGAGAGGTAATGGGCATGGTGGATGGCTGCGTGTTGTGGTTTTCCAATTGAAGACTCTGTCTTCAGCATAGTCTGTGTGGTCTCTCTGAAATTTTTTGGACTTAGCTAAAAAAATGTTTTTACCATTAAGGGTTTGGTTTTTGGTCAAGGTGGATGACCATTTGGCGAAAAGGCTTGTGGTGCCGAATTCCTTAGTGATGTTGGTTATTAAGTCATCAATTTTGGATATTATGTGTTGTAATTTTCTTTCTCTTTGTTCAATTATAAGCTCGATCCATTTATTAGTGCTGAGCTCTGCCACTTCTTTCTAAGGTCATTGTCAAGAATGTCACAATCCTTTTTGATTCGTAACCCCCGAGGGGTGATTTTGAGTTCCAAGTATTTACGGAGGAACTTGATGTCCCACCATTGGAATTTTTTTTCAAAGGACAGGTTTTGTAGTTGGAGAAACTGTTTCCTCATAGCGGTTTCATGTGCTTTGGTATGGGTTAGGACCCGGTGGGGGTTAATGGAGAAGAGGGAGGGTATGTTAGGACGGTGGGTGTGGTGAGGAGAGGTGGGGGTTTTGAATTTCATGGATGGAGGGTTTAAGGTTGACGCAAACCTTCGTGAGCTGCTGTGGGGCAAAATTACAACCGGTGCCACCTACTGGGTAGATGTGTAGACAATGAAAAATTAGGAGAGTTGTCCCCTGATGCAGCGCTACGCGAGGGTAAGGATGTGTGGGTGTGGATTTTAATGTTAGGTGTGCAGCTTCTTTTAAGTACGGACCGGGGTGTCCGACATTTGCCAATAGGAACAGAAAAATGAGGACAGAAGCGCTACTACCATACAGAAAAAACAAAGTGGGAGAAAAAAGTGCTGGAATTGACTGAGTTTGATGATGTGGGAAATGTTTTCAATTGACAGAGATGTTATTATCAGGATTTTGATAATTGGTTCCATTACTCAAAGAAACAGAATGAAAAAGGGATATATGGTTGAGATCAGTGTAGTGTGTCAATATAATGTGGCATATAGTGACTCACCATTAGGTTTGGATTGATGTGTAGTCATCGGTGAGGGACGATTCCGCTGGTTCCAATGGTGTTGGTGTGAATCCTAAGCGGAGTGCCAGTTTCCTTGATGGGTCGGATGCTTGGAGGAAGGGTCGCGGTGGGAGGATTTCCTCAATGGGCGAGGGCTAAAAGTGCAGGAATTGTGCTGGCATGCTGTGGAGGAGTCGATGCAGCGGGACTCTGTCCTCACAAGCCTGTCGGGGGTGGGAAGACGGTGGAGCCGGGAAGGGCTGAATGCCGGAGGCGTTCTGTGTGTGTGCAGAAGAGGCTGGATGGAACGCCGCGCTCAGTCAGTCAGTGCAGGACTATCGTAAAAGATAATTAAGGCTAATCCATTCCAGGTCTAGAGAAACTTTAGACAATCAGGTTTGATCAAAGGGACCAGCTTAGCAGATCTGGAGATTGAATTGAGAATGTCTAAACAATCTAGGAAGGCCACATTCCTTCCAAAGTGAGGGAGATAGAATTCGGCACCTACAAGATAGCAGCACCATGAAGACCAAGGAGCTCTCCAAACAGGTCAGGGACAAAATTGTGGAGAAGTACAGATCAGGGTTGGGTTATAAAAAAAATCTGAAACTTTGATTATCCCATGGAGCGCCATTAAATCCATTATTTTTAAAAAATGGAAAGAATATGGCACCACCAAGGACCTGCCAAGAGAGGGCCGCCCTCAAAAATCCGCAGACCAGGCAAGGAGGGCATTAATCAGAGAGGCAACCAAGAGACCGAAGATAACCCTAAGGGAGCTTCAAAGCTCACAGCGGAGATTGGAGTATTTGTCCATAGGACCAGTTTAAGCCATACACTCCACAGAGCTGGTCTTCATGGAAGACTGGCCAGAAAAAAAGCCATTGCCTACAGAAAAAAATAAGCAAACACATTTGCCAGGTATTCTGGTCAGATGAGACCAAAATTGAGCTTTTCGGCATTTAAGCAAAACGCTATGTCTGGGACAAACCCAAGACCTCTCATCACCCTGAGAACACCAACACCAACACCACCATCAACAACCCCACAGTGAAGAATGTTGGTGGCAGCATCATGTTGTGGGGATGTTTTTCATCAGCAGGGACTGGCAAACCGGTCAGAATTAAAGGAATGCTGGATGGAGCTAAATACAGGGAAATTCTTGAGGGAAACCTGTTTCAATCTGCCAGAGATTTGGGACTGGGACAGAGGTTTACCTTCCAGCAGGACAATGACCCTAAGCCTACTGCTAAAGCAACACTCGAGTGGTTTAAGAGGAAACATTTATATGTCTACGAATGCCCTAGTCAAAACCCATAAGAATGGGCAAAAATCCCAGTGGCTAGATGTGCCAAGCTTATAGAGGCATACCCCAAGAGACTTGCAGCTGTAATTTCTGCAAAAGGTGGCTCAAAGTAGAGTGAACTCCCAGTTATCCAGCACCCATGGTTAATTTTTTTTTTATCGCAATAAAAAATATTTTGCCTCTTCAAAGTGGTAGGCATGTTGTGTAAATCAAATGATACAGACCCCCCCAAAAAATCAATTTTAATTCCAGGTGGTAATGCAACAAAATAGGGAAAATGCCAAGAGGGGGTGTAATACTGCTACTGAGAGGGCGGGAACAGCCCATTTCGTTTGCCGCACAACGAACATCTAGAGTTTTGAACACCAGGTTGAACCATGCATTAGACTGAACTCAAACCCTATCCCTAGTGGTAGGTTACATTTTTATGCTTAGTTGTTTCATGATCTAAATTTGTTTAAATGATCTAAAATTGTTTGAAATTGCCTACAAAATGGGCAGCATTTGTGTTGCCATCAATCGGAAGTACTTTCTAGCCTGCACAGAAAAAAAAACCAATACAGCTTTCAGCCATAGGTCAAATAGATATGTTTCTTTTCTGTTAGTAGCAATATTATCACTGCTATTGATACAGCAACCACAATCCACTTACTGAAGGTCCCAGCAAAGCCAGACGGTAGAGAAGTGACCCCAGCCCAACTTTCGGACAACATGGTATCTGCCATTGAAGAGGTCTCCTATTTTCACTGGATAGTATCCTCCTATACACAGAACCAAGAAAAAACTTATGGAGTAAATAAAATATTCTACATAAACACATTTCTTGTTGTAATAAAGTGTCATGTTTGATAGGCATCCTCACTCTGGATCACCCACAGTTTTATATTTAGCCAATTACCTTGGCAATTAGACCACTGTATAGATTTCCATGTCTGCTCATCTAAATGCTGGTGTTATGGGCAGGTCTACCTCTCCCTGCAGGTCTTATAGAAAGTAGAGCAGAAAAATGAAAACCCAACTCCAGTTAAAATTTTATAGATGATCAGTCTAGTCTGCCCAAAACTGATGTGTGAGTTATGGATGCTGAAGGCTCAACTACCAACTGGGTTTCTTAAATCTCTCAGGCATTCCATTGAGGAGACTTTCTTGCAACACTTCCCCAGAAACTCCCTTACCCTGGTGAGGAGGGAAACCCAACTCCTGTCAGAACTTTTGTTTTTTTAGATATGCATGGAGTAGGGAAGACTTAAAACCTCTTTTTTTAATTGCAGCATGTATTCCTGCTGGATACATTTTCCTTTTTGTCCTTTTATGTCACTAGAAGAGTATAGGATGTTCTAACCCTTCCCCACTCTATACAATTTAAAAAAAAGGAAGCAGTTGGGTTTCAAAGTAACTATTACGTTTTATAATGTGATACAATCTGCTTCCAAACTTAGTAAATTTCCCAGCCATAAAGCAATTGCAGTAGTGAAGAGTAATAGGTAGGGCATCATATGCAATTCATGCAACAAGCGAAAACATATTTTCTCTGGTGAAGTTAAGTAACACTTACAGGTCTTGTTCTTCCCTAGTTTGTTCCACCCCTAGAGTAGCAGCAGACTGATGAGCTCATCTCTTTGTCACTCTGCTCTCTCTTCCTATAAGCAGGCTCCTTGTTTGCATATAAGCACTGCAACACAGCTGACTGGCTCCCTGTGCTGCTTCTCCCTCTCCTAGTCCCAGCTATGATGTACAGTGGTCTATGAAAATACATTTATCAATGTGCTAATGAATGCTAAGCTGCATTAAGTTGTGTAATTTTTAGCTCCCTGGACTTCAGATTTGCGCTATGGGCTAACACTGGAATTTATGGGGCATTTTAATGTAAACTATTAAGTGTTAAGGTTCAGGTTAGAATTCAGTGTAAGTATTAAATATATGTGAACAAAATCACTATAATTTTACATACTGTCATGTGAATACGTAAGTACACTCATGAAAATAGTTTTTTTTCACAAATTTGGAAAGGCAAATATTAGATCTTCATTCAAACAAAAAACCCAAAAACCTTTAGATCTTGTTTGCAGTCATTGCTGAAGTGCATGCATATAAATAGAAAATGCCTGCATTGTTGGACTTGATGGACTAATGTCTTTATTCAACCTCAAACACTATGTAACTATGTAACTATGAAGCAGCAGAAGATCAGTAAACACTAAGATGCAAAACAAAAGGAAATAAGGTGAAAATAATATCAGAGTTTGCATTTGGTTAGGATTACAGGAAACCTTACAGAGCAGCAATAGTGATTAGAGTGAAAGCCAGCCATTCTTATTATGAGACATCAGCAATTGCAGCTTATACATACTTTATATTATACATTATATTATTATAATATCATTATTATAATGAAGGCCTTTGTGCAGATTCCAAGCTACTCTGAGTTACATACATAGTTACATAGTATTTGAGGTTGAATAAAGACATTAGTCCATCAAGTCCAACCTATTAGGATCTCATTCTAGGAGTACCCGTACCCCTGTATAACTGATCTTACTGTGAAGAACCCCCTTCGCACCTTGTGCTGGAATTTTTTTTCCACCAATTTTAGGTTATGGCCTCTAGTTTTTGTAACGGAGTTAATTATGAGTGTTTTAATAACTTGAGGTCCGGCCACTGTATTAAAATGGCTGTTCCACTGGTGCATTTTTCCAGGAGGACATATTGGTATTTCCTCCAGGAACTGCAATTGTGCTCTTGCATGCGTATGCCCAAGCCTGTGATCGCGCTGTGATTGGTCACAACTAGGGATGCACTGAAATTTCATCCGCTGTAACATACCGGTCGAAAATGGCACTTTGGGCAAAATGCCGAAAGTGACATCTTTTGGACGAAATTGCGGTGCATCTCTAGTTTCTCTCCTCCCCTAAAAAAATGAGTTTCGGTTTCGGCCTGACATATTTTTTTAGTTTCTATTTCAAAATTTAATTTTGGTGCACCTCCAGTCACAACGCATCCCAATTCACAGACAGGTCACAGCAGATCACAAATGTAAACAATGGCTGCGGTTTGCAGCCTGTCTCTTCCTTTCCTCTCACACACAGTTAGGCTGTGAGAGGAAAGGAAGATAGGATTGCCACCTTTTCTTCAAGAGAAACCTGAACACTCTAGCACCGTGTGTCAAATCTTTTTTGGAGAATATTCAGGTGAGAGCGAGGAGAGATAGCCAGGAGAGAGAGCAAGGAGAGACAGTGAGGAAAGACAGTCATGAGAGAGAGAGAGCGAGGAGAGACAGCCATGAGAGACAGTCAGGAGAGAGAGCGAGGAGAGACAGTCAGGAGGGAGGGGAGAGACAGCCAGGGGAGATAGTGAGCAATGACATCCTCTGTGCCTAATTTAAGGCCATACACTGCAGAACTTGGTGAATGGGCCAAGGCACAAATTGTTTGCTGGGATCCATGTATTTTCTTTGCAAAATGGACATTCAGGGCAATCTGAAAAATAAAAGAACACTCACACTGGTTCCTCCTGCACCCCCCTCCCCCCAATCCTGGTTCTCAGTGTATACATTTAGGAGAGAGAGAGAGAGAGAGAGAGAGAGAGAGAGAGATACAGAGAGTATGTTGTGTTAACCGTCAGAGCCCAGTCACAGCAAAGGTCTGCACCCGTACCGTGCACGAAGCAAGGCTGCAAACGAGCAGGAACACCAGGACCCTGTGGATGCCCCTGTTCACCTGATATTGTGCTATCTTTTGTCCTGGTTTCAGCTTGCCTGAAACACGGAAACAGCACATAAAGAACTCAAAACCCAGACTATCCGGGTGAATTCGGACAGGTGGCAAGCCTAGTTTAAATGTAACAAAGTAGCACACAGCCTTCCTAACATTAAAGTGTCAGCACCAGTACAGGGTGTCCTGATTACCACCAGTACCAGTGTCCTGATTACCACCAGTACCAGTGTTCTGATTTCTGCTGTCAGCACAAGTACCAGTCTCAAACTAAGTGTACAATCCCCCAAAAAAATCTGTATTGACAAGTTCCTCATTCACTTTACTGGCAGACTTAACATCAAACACTATCTCCCTGGCAAACCTGCGAGGTAGGAGGTGAAATTGTACAAACTGTGAGAGAGGGCCACAGGTTATACATATATGATTTCCGTGTTTACAAAGGGAGAGATAGCCAGCTGGTGCCAACTGGATACCCATCCTATATTGGAAGCAGCAGAAGGATAGTCTGGGACCTTTTGTCACCACTATTCCATCAGGGACACCACCTCTGTGTGGACAAATTGTATTCAAGTGTCCCACTGTTCAAACACTTCTATCTCAAACAAAACCCAGCCTGTGGTACAATGCGCCCCAATTAGCAAATGATTTCCACAAAGTCTTGTCAACGGGAAGCTAAAAATGGGGGAGTCAGCGAGTCTGCAAAATGATGAACTAATGGCCCTTAAATGGAAGGACAAGTGATATCACATCTCGCTCCGCCCATTTGTTTACAGTCTGGCCAGAGAAGTCATTTTGCAGCGAGTCTTCGTCGCATAAGGACGGGTCGTTGTGACGTCGGGTATTCATGCGGTGGGACTTTTTTTATTTCTGCGAGTCGGCGCGTGTCGTTCATCCTGATTGACGCTGGATTACATTGATGGAGCCATTTTTTTGCTAAAGGAATAGTCAAAAATTGACTCTTTTTTGTTTTCAATTAAAGGATTTTTCTGGTGTGTTTATTTACATTTCAGTAGACAAGATGTAAAAAAAAAACGTAGTATTGCAGTGTGCAATGATACCTTTCTTATCGGACTAACAAAATATATAAAAGACAGGCTTTCGAGAGTGAACCTCTCTTCTTCAGGTCAGAAGCAATACTACCAAGTGTTCTGTAACAGTATCAGCCAAATGATCAGACCAGTGGTGATGTGCAATTTCTACTTTACTTAACAATGAAAATCAATATAAATTGCACAGGGGATCATATGAACAGTGGATTGCAATACAGAGCATTAATATCAACAATATACATATACACACACATACAAGTACTGATGCTTGTCCAAGTACTCAGATACAAGTACTTATACATTTTTGTTTATTGTCATGTGACAGTTTTTCTAAAACAATACAGACTAATGTCAAGACAAAGTCACTGCGCTAAAAAAACGTACAACTTATACATAAACAATACAGTGCCTAGTGATTGTCACAACACAATATGTGACCTCCCCTATACTTAATTTCAATACAATCTTAAAACTGCATGTGCAATGTGTTGTGATACAGATCACATGTGCAACTCCACAAATTGGTCTCTATAAAGGTGCCCATACACTTTACAACCCTCGCAAGACTTTTTTCTTGCGAGGGTTGTAAAGTAATTTAAAAAACGTACGATCTGCCCATCTTTTTTCCGATTACTGCAATGCTGACTACGCACACCGGCCCGTTCGGCAGTGATCTCTCAATCATGTTAAAAATCAGCCGAAAATCGTACGATTCTCGGCTGGTTTTCCACCATGCTTGATATACAAAAGTCGTGAGAACCGTACATTAGAAACTTCCATACACTGCACGATTCTCGTACGATCGCGGTATTTCCCGCTATTCTCGCACGAGAATCGTGCAGTGTATGGGAACCTTTACAAGAGAACAAAAAAAAGTCTCTTTAAGAGGTTATGTCAGCAATATATAAAGTGCAATTGTTCGACATTCCAAAAAGGCATTTCTTAGTGTGATATCCTTAGTGTTTCTGTGCAATCAATACACTCACCAGACTTCTTTGACCACTATTAAATGGTCAAACTGCACTCAGATTACAATCCTTAGCGAGCCATTCTCCCAAGACAGCTGATGGCAACCTCCTTTGTAGTCAATATCTCCTTTCAGCTTGCTGGGTAGGCACTTTATTGTTTATGTATAAGTTGTAAGTTTTTTTAACGCAGTGACTTTGTCTTGAGATTTTAGAGAGTGACTTTAGGATTCACTTGTTTTCACTGCTGCTGACACATTATATTGAAAGGAAACACCAAAAGCACAGATTTTATGCACAATTGCAATATAGACTAATGATTTCAGGACAGTGGTGGAGCGCTAGGGCCGTCACAGCTGCAACCCTGGTAGTTCTCATGAAAATGCCAAGTATCGGCACTGGTATCTGAACATCCCTACTACCTTCCAAGGGGAATCTCAGATCACGCTCCTCTTCTGTTTGAACTCTGCTGGGGCAATTCCTTTTCCACCCGTGTGTGGAGAATGAATTTTGCATGGCTTTCCGACTCATCGGTGGCAGATGCTTGCACACGGGCTATTGGACACTATTGGACTGATAATGCCTTTGTGCCTTCCTCCTCCCTTAAGTGGGAAGCCTTCAAACCCATGCTAAGGGGGTCATTTATGAACGACCCTGGTGCTGCCCGCAGACTTAAGGAGGAATCTACGATGGCCCTGGAAAAAACTGTGGGTGAGGCTGAAGCTGCCTGTGTTTCTGACCCTTCTACCATAGCATATCAAGATTGGATGGAGAAAAAATGGATGATTTAAGATGTATCCCTCTTGGAAGGTACCAGGAAGAAAATGTTGTATACTCATTGTTTGTCAGGGTACCATGCACAGGCATCCTCACACCACATGCAGGTAACCACACAGGATGACCAAATTAATATGCCCACACAGGATAGGGTTCTATGCACACAGTTTATTTGCTACACAACAACAAAACTACAAACCCCCTCAACCCCCCACAGGTTTAGCAGTGAAGTAAAAAACCCACCGGGACAAATACACACCTACAGCCAGGGGGAAGCAACAAGGAGGGGTAACAGGCCTGCAGATATATGGCAGGCCTCAGGATAAAAGAAGAGTGGTCAGGTACAAGCCGGGTCGTTAACAGGAGGGCAGCAGCACGGTACAGGAACAGGATCCAAGAGAGTGGTCGGGTAACAAGCCGGGTCGGTGACAGGTCTGCAGATAGGAAGCAGGGTTCAGGTGTATGGGAATCAGTCAAGTGCAGGCGACGCAATACTGAGCCAGCTTCCTGACTGCAGGTAGGGCCTAAATACCCTCCCAGGAAGCACCAGGTGATGGGATGATCAGCTACAGCTGGGGCACACCCACAGGGGAGTACTGGAGCTGCAGGTTCCTTACAGTCCCTGGCTGCTGGAGACACCCGCAGGCGAGCACAGGAACTGCAGGACCTGGCTACAGCACCACCTGGGGGTGCTCTGGATCCTGACATTGTTTGAATTTGGTAATAAAGTGGGCAAGCTTCTGGGATACTTTACAAGACCAGGATATAACCCTACTTCCATGTCCCACATTGTTTCCTCCTCAGGATGTGTTGTCACTGCTTCACAGGACATCCTGGAGGCCTTTTTGTCCTTTTATAAAGGCTGGCTGTTCATAATGAGGCATTTGACATTGGCATATGCCCCCCATCTATGCGTGAGGTCCTTGTAGTTTTGATTTTTTGAAGCTCAGTAAAGACCCTAATACATTCCTATCGTCCTATCTCCCTGATCAATGTTGATGCCAAGATTTTAGCTAAGCTCCTCGCTATGCATATATTTTTTTTTAACAAATATTTTATTCTCGCTATGCATATTAATAAGCACATCTTGTCCCTGATAAACAGTGATCAGGTGGTTTTATGACGGGCCGCTCAACCAGCATGAATATCCATAGACTATTTACTAACCCTCAGTTCTCCCATCCCACAGTGGAGGGTAGGGCCATGATCTCCCTAGACACGCATAAGGCTTTTGACAGCATTGAATGGCCGTATCTGTTAAAGGTGTTGCATATTTATGGGTTTGGTCCCCATATGATACAATGGGTTAAGATTCTTTAGAACTCCATGGTGGCTAGATTACGGGTCAACAAGGATATAACTACTCGCTTTTGTATATTAAGTGGGACTAGATAGGGCTGCCCCCTCTCACCTATCATGTTTGCTCTGGCGATTGAACCACTGGCAGCCCCGATAAGGTAATCCACTTCATTGTATGGTCTTTCAGTACAGGGCCTGGAGGAGTGTATCTCCTTGTATGCTGATGATACACGGATTAACTTATCTGACCCTAATGGCTCCCTGGCTCATCTGCTTAAATTACTAGAGACAGGGCACTATTTAGCGCTGCATGACGGAATAAATGTCAGTTAAAGTACCGCAGCGCTGAATACTGAAAAATGGCCTGGATGGGAAGGGGGTTTAACACCGCGGATCTCAACTGGTTAAAGTTAATTGGGACAAGTCTGTTCTTTTTCCCTTAGAAGCTAATACCCATCTCCTGTCCATGTCCATGTCTCATGTCTATCCTAAGTCCACATTGCGAGTGGCTCACAAATTTAACTATTTGGGTGTCAAGCTTCAACTCCCCCTCTCCTCTTATATTGAGAATAATTTAGTCCCCAGTTTTGACTCCCTTCAATTGAAGAAGAAACAATGGCAAGATTTACCCTTAGATATTATGTGTAGGGTCAATATAATTAAGATGATTTTTTTTTGCCTAAACTTTTGTACATTATGGTTAACTCTCTATGCTATATTCCACAAAGATATTTTTCGAAATTGAATTCTATTACTATTACATTTATATGAGAGGGACATACACAAGTGGCTCTGGTGGTGTTACAGCTTCCGCATTCCTAAGCGGGTCAGGCGTTTCCTAATTTCTATGAATCATGATTGGCTGCTGCCTCAGGTGGGAAACACCTGCACAGCAGCTGATACTGCCATACTTACTTCCTTTGTATCTCTTCAAAATGTTATTTATAGAGGGGGCTCTGACTTACATTCAGGTACTGCTATTATTTTTGTGATCATTCGTATCGTTTAGTATGTAATTAATTGGTTACCTGTGGCTACATGATCCCACTCCCCCTTATCACCTTTACAGGGTAATCCTTCCTTCCCAGAGCTGCAGCATCTGCCATCGGCTGCCTTCTGGTCCTCAGAGGGAGTCAAATCCCTCTCTCAGTTGTTTAGGAATGGGGCAATGCTTAATTTCTCGCAACTCAGAGAGGAGCAGCTCTCTCCATCCACTTTTTTGACATATTTTGAATTGCTTCATGCAATACGAGCCCAATTTGGGTCGACTTATTTTATACCAGTTCAGTCCCCCCTAGAGAAGATGTTAAGTAGAGATATCTCCTCTTAGTTGGTGTTGACCTATTATGCAGAACTTATGGCCCCTAGATATTCCAGATTTGATAAACGAAAACAAAAGTGGCAGACCCTCCTCCTGGATGATTGGTGTGATTTCGAAGATGTGTATATGTCTTTTGTGATAACCTCCAGGGATAGAATACTGCAAATGAAGTTATTTTATCAGGACTATTATACCCCTTACCTTTTATGTACATTAGGTCTCCGGCCCACTCCACTGTGCTTTAAGAAGTTTGTTTGCACTCCTTTTGGTCCCTACTTCTTTTATGGAGACTGGCCTGGGTTGGCCCAACATATATAACCCCCTCATTTTGCCTTTTTGGTCTCTTTAGTGAGCTAATGCTGGATTCTGGGGCTCAAACTCTTTTCCGGCTAATCTTGTTTTATGCCAGAAAATCCTTCTAGTATGGGGTAGCCCTGGGGTTCCCTTCCTGAGTTGCTGGAAGCGTTTGGTTGACCAAGTGTCACGTACCTGGTTAGAGACTGAATGTGTGAGGAGTCCCGAGGACTCTGAGGTTGGGGACAGAGTCCAAGTAGACAGCGAGTGGCACGGGTGCCAGTGGTGATAACACCGTGCAAGCTGAATTCCAGGGGCTTGATTTTCCAAGGCACAATTCAATATCCAAGTCAACGAGCCAAGGTCAAAACCAATTGGGCGGGAACGGTACACAGGGGTGAGGCAGAGGCAAAGTCCAGTAAACAAATCCGAGGTCGGTGGCAGGCAGCAGGCAAGAAAGACCAAGACAAATCCGGGTCACAACAAATCAGGAAGGAATTCACAGGATACACAGGAGAGCTGAACATAATCCAACAATATGGTCGTGCTCTGGTTTGGTTTATATAGAGGAAATGATTAGGGTGATGTGTCACTTCCTGTGCGCCGTTTGGCGTGCTTTTGTGCGGCTGGTCCATGGCACACGCGCATGCGTGGAAGAGCGTGTTTCTCAATGGAACGGGAAAGCGCGCTTGGCGCATGCGCAGTAACAGGGGGTCGCTTACACCAAGCCTTACCACTTTATAAGACTACCTATGAACAGCGAGGCAACCCACAGTGATTTGATCGCATCTGGGGCCCATGGATATCCTCCATTTATCACCGTGACCTGTTCTCTGGCATACAATAAAGTGGGGTCCTGCATTTTGGCAGCACCATATGCACCCCTGGATACCTCCAGATCAGGATGTGCTGGTCTAGAGGAATCCTCTCCTTCATTCACCTTGGACATAACTTGTCCGTGGTTCCTCTACATCCTGCGCAACCATGACCTGTACAGTAGGCGGTCCCCCCCTCAGGGGACTCCTTGCTTTGTAGGTAATTTACAAATAGTACATCATCATCAGGATCGGCATGTTCAATATTATTTTCATGAGTGTGCTGTCTCATATTGTCCTGCATCACGGGAGAAACAATAATGTAATTTTGTTCCTCTAGTTCTTGCCATTCTACTGCGCATAGAAGGACATTTGCCGCGTGACTCCACACTCCATAGGTTCCTCCCATAGGGGACAGTAGGCCTGAATATGGCCCCTGGCGTGACACCACCAACACAGCACGTTTTGAGGTGCTGAGTCATCCACTGCCAGACTCTCCTGAATGCTGGTTCCAGGGTTGGCAGGTGGTTTTCCTCACTGGGCTGACATGGGCCATTGGTACTTGGCAGGTCCATGTAGATCCTCTACCACGGTGTATCGCTTCACCATCTCCACCATCCAATCCATCATCTGGGGTCCCCCGTGGCTGACCCAGCATTGTAGTTCCTCCGGTACTGCCCACAGGTAACGGTCCATGGTGACTCATTCCATGATCTGAGATGCAGTTAACTTTTCCAGCTGTAACCATTTTGTGGCCAGTTGCAGCAGGTCATGCATCTAGGACCGGGGTGACTGTCCAACATGATACTTCCAACAGTGCACTCTGTGTGCCAGGCCCGCAATAGTCAAAAAAAGTCGAGCCAGAATCTCACCCTTCAGCTTGGTATAATCTTGGGTGCCCGAGTGGCCTCCTACTGTGCTGCTGTGGCCTGCATCAGGGCTTTTACAAACATCTCCATCCCTTTGCTAGGGGATCGCAATCTCTGTGCGGCTCTAACCCAGGACATACACATGTACTATCTCTTTAAATTGTCCAAATACATGGCCTTTTCTGGCTTTGCCCACATCCTTCACCAGATGTAATATTTAGAGCGGTTCTGATTGATAGCCAGCCGTGTTCGGATTTTCTCCCCAAAACATGCCAAAAGAAACAGCTTATCTTCAGCAAACAAAACTTCTATTCAGTATAACAGAAAGTCCGGCTCTCCACCTGTATACATACTTCCCTTCTCAGGGTTAACGTCCCATCTTGCACTCAGGGTTTAAACCTGGACACCGATGCCCAGCAATGTCTCAGTAGCAGACAGTCCACAGCTCCATACCCAGCCATGTGTCTTGCTCTAATATACCTCACAGACACCAGCAGGCTGGCTTCGTGTGTTCTTTAAACACTCCCAGCAGGTGGGTTAAGCCGTACCAGGCCTGCATGCCTCTAGTCAGGGTTGGAGGCTCTTTCCCACCCAATATCTCTCAGAGCCTCTGGATTCCGGGTCCCATCCTGGAAAGATTGCATAGCAGTTTCCCTCAAAAAACTCACCTTCGAACCCCTCTCAAGCAACCAGAAACTACAGTTTTCTGGCACCTACCGATCCCTGTGGGTGTCGGATAACTGAGAGTTTACTATATTTTCTGCACATTTAGGAACGCATTCAGATTTTAAAAAAACAATTAACTAAGCTAGCTAGAACTAGTTCCTGAGCTAGTCTATTCCATGTTTTTACAGCTCTTATTGTAAAGAAACCTTTCACAGTAAGAGTTGTAAGAGGTTAAACCTTATTTTCTCCAGATGCAAAGAGTACCCCTTTGCAATGGCCTTAAAGGGAATAATTTTGCAGTTCACTATATGGACCGTTTATGTAATTATACATGGTGATCATATTCCCCTTAATTTCCTCTACTCAAGGGAGAAGAAATTCAGTTCAGCTTATATTTCCTCACAGTTGAGGTGCTGCTGAAAAAATTGCACTTCTTGATATGTGAGTGTGCCTAGGCACTCTAGTTTCTACATGCTCATAGCTGTATATCTACTATGTGAGAGGCACTGTTGCCTGTGACTGCTTTTCTCACAAAATGTTAATGTCACTACTATGCTTGCTGAAGAGCAATCTGTACTTGAGGACCTGCAATGCATGCATTTCCCCGCTTCTACTTCATTCATTCTGTGGGTATGTGCCCCCTGCTGCTTCTTTTTGAATAATTCCCCACTAGTCATCAGATCATCATACATTGGGGGTAGCTCTAACATAAGGATGCAAAGACCTGTTCTTTTTACCAAGTTGGCCACCTTCACACAATGGAGAGCAACGCATGATAAGTTGTTAATAAGGAAAAGATCATCTGCAGAGAGCCTATGGCTGTTGCATACAAGTGTTTGGCCAGAACTACAGCCGGCCAATCGCTTGTATGACAACTAGCATCGTGTGCCCCCTCCCCCCACCACCGCTGCCGGTTATCCTGGGCTCCGCTGTCCCCCCTGCAGGCCCGGGACCGGCACATCGGCTGTGTACGCTGTAAATGGAGGCAAGACCAGCATTCTCCCACTGCTGATCTCTCCTCCTCTCTCTCTAAAGGCGTAAGTGATATGTATTACATCACTCTTGACTTTAGCTGTCATATTTCTGGCTGCTATAGCCAGAGAAGAAGCTGGTAAAGCAGATCTCTGCTTCATCAGCTTCTTTGGGGGTCCCAAGGTGACATTAGGGGTCTTAGAGACCCCTGATGTCTCCATAAAGAGGACCTGCCATTGTATATTTGTTATCACATAGGGGGCTTGTTAGCCCTCTATGTAATAGCATAAAAGTTAAGTGTGGAAAAAAAAAGTTTTTTTAAAAATGTCTCATATTCAGAAAAAAAAAAAACACCCCAAAAAAATGTAAGTCCCCCTCCACCGCATGCACGCACATATAAACGTAAATATACTATATACGTCTATGTGTAAAAACACTTATTACGGCACACGGTACATATCGCCACGAACGTGGGAGTGAGAGCAATAATTCTAGGGCCATCAGTCACTGTTAACACTAAATTGGTGAGTGGTAAAAGTTTTTAAAGTGTTGCCTATGTCCAATTTTATTAAGAACAATTAAACCGAGCTAGGATGTAAAACTAATGTATGTTAAATATCTACCGTGGCAAGCTGCAGCACTCACAAAAGTGCTTGCACCTCCAATTGTAAGATCATCTGTGTTCCACTGTTCCTAGTAATCTTAAATGTGCTAAACAATGAAAAATTATGTATAATAAGCAATATTTTCCTTTCATAAATTAAGTGCCAATATTTGAATCAATAAAGTGCCAGTGGATAAATTAATAATCAATCAGCCCTATTACAATACATAAAATACAGTATTTCAGTGCTCAAACACTAAGTGAAAGCTGTAATTATTATGTCATCAATAAGTAAAGAAAAACGTCAATTCCCCATGATACACCGTGCTTATTCGCCATTATGGTGCTCTCTTGCTCTTAAGGAGTGTGACTTTGCTCTGTATTGCTTTATAATGCACTCACCAGATGCGATTTGTAATCTTGCATGTTTTCAGAAACATCATCGCTCTAATTTTTCTGCTTTCCATTAGAATCTCATTAGAATCAACTGCTAGCTTATACTGCTCTCTTCCTCCGTTCAATCCACTGTATATATCGCGTTATCACTGGCAGCCAGATCAATAGTTAGTCATGGCCAAAAATATTGGTACCCCTGCATTTCTGTCATGCACAGAAGTTTAGGCATTTTCATGTTCATTTCTTTTGTTTGTATTGGTATGGCACAAAAAAGTTGAGAAAAAAATAGCCAAATCTGACACATTCCACGCAAAACTCCAAAAATGGACCGGACAAAATGATTGGCACCTTCTCAAAATTGCAAGAAATAATTGCATTCCAATTTTGTGATGCTCCTGTTATTAGTAATTAAACTCACCTGTATCAATTAACAGGTAGTGACAATATAGAAATCACACCGCCAACCAGTTAAAATGGTGAAAAATTGACTCAACCTTTCTGTTGTGTGTCTCTGTGTGCCATACGTAGCATGCAGAAGAGAAAGAGCAGCAAAGAATTGTCTGAGGATTTGAGAACAAAAATTGTGGAAAAGCATGGTTACAAGTCCATCTCCAGAGATCTTTATGTTCCTGTGTCCACTGTGCACAACATTTTCAAGAATGGCACTGTAGCTAATCTCTCTGGACATGAACGAAAGAGAACAATTGATCAAGGATTGCAACAAAGGATTGTTCAAATGGTGGATAAAGACCCTCGATCAACTTCCAGACAAATTCAAGCTGACCTTCAGACACAGGGTACAACTTTGTCAGCTCGCACTATAAGTCGCCATCTGAATATGGTAGGAATATGGTAGGAGACCCAGGAGGACCCCCCTGCTGATGCAGAAACATAAAATAGCTGGATAGGAGTTTGCCAAAACTTACCTGAGGAAGTCAAAATCCTTCTGGGAGAATGTGCTGTAGACAGACGAAACAAAAAAACAGCTTTTTAATGGGCTTTATAATGCACTCACCAGATGCTATTTGTAAACTTGCATCATTCTATTGTTTTCCGAAAAAGAAATTAGGCCTTTCAAGAAAAAAATACAGTCCCTACAGTCAAACATGGTGGAGGTTCACTGATGTTTTGGGGTTGCTTTGTTGCTTCAGGCACTGGATATCTTGACTGTGTGCACGGCATTATAAAATCAGAAGACAACCAAAGAATTCTGGGGTGCAATGTAGGGCCCAGTGTCAGAACGTTGGGTCTCCATCAGAGCTTAAAGCAGGTCAATGACCCAAAGCACATGTCAAAAAGCACCCAGAAATGGTTTCAGACAAAGCGCTGGAGAGTACTGGACTGGCCAGCAATGAGTCCAGATCTGAATCCCATAGAGCGCCTGCTGAGAGATCGCAAAACAGCAGTTTGGAAAAGCAATCCTTCCAATCTGAGAGACCTGGAGCAGTTGGCGAAAGAAGAGTGGTCCAACATTCCTGTAGAGAGGTGTAAGAAACTCATTGATGGTTACAGGAAGCAATTATTTTCAGTTATTTATTCCAAGGGCTGTGCTACCAAATATTAATTGAGGGTGCCATGTATTTTGTCCAGTCCATTTTTGGAGTTTTGCGTGGAATGTGTCAGATTTGGCTTTTTTTTCCTCAACTTTATTGTGTCATACCAATACAAACAAAATAAATAAATGTGAGAATGCCTAAACATTTGTAATTGCAACAATTTTCTGCGTGAAGTGGTGCATTATCTGACAGGGGTGCCAATATTTCTGGCCATGACTGTATCTCCACTCATTCTCTCCTT